CATGTGGGCATCAATGCTGAGGTTTGGAGGAGTCTGGACTATCACATTGTAGCCAAAAAATATACTCTTTCCCTCCCTGGGGCGGATGGACGGACAGACTGACCTCATCCCCCATTCACTGCTCTGTCAGTATTCACTTCCACGGAGTGCAAATGCCCCATCACACAGGAATGTATCCATGCCAGAGGTGGAGGGGCCTGGGGGGCCTGGGGCCCCCTCGCCATCCCTCACCCACGTGTCTTCTTTTTATATAAACAAAGGGAAAAAACACCCACAAAAAAATAGCAACCAAAAAAAAAAATAGCAACCAAAAAAAAAAAAAGGAAGGAAAAGCCCTCCGAGTTTACAGAGCAACTTGTTTCTTGTCCAATTGGGTAGGAGAGAACGGGCAGGGGAGGAAGGTCACCCTCCTTGTCCCTCCACCTCGGGGTACAGCAGGACGGTGGGTGCCGGGTGGGAAAGGGGAAGCGTTCCCGTGCTACAGGGACTGGAGTGTTGGCAGCTGCCGTGATTCACTCCCACGCGGGGTCTTGCGCAACCCTCGGCCTCTGCTTCCTCCCTCCTCCTTGCCAGCTCCCGCGGGACTGAGCGCTCCTGGGCTGTGGGTGGGCACTGGGGGATCCCCCAGGGGTCTCCGAGGGTGTTGGGGTCCCGGAGACGCAATACCAAAGATGAGCCTGTTGAGGCGGGTGTTGGTGAGGTCTGGAGGGGATTTAGGGGCTGTTTGGGGTTATTTCGGTGGAGGGGTGGATAATTTATTACTCGTTTCTGTGTGGCGGAATTGTATCATTTTATGGTTCCACTGAGAAAAAAAAGAACCAAAAGCCAGCTTTTTTTTTTATTTATTTAAAAAAGAAAATAATATTCTGAGCAGCTTCTGTGTCCTGTGTCCGGTGGAATACCGGGGGGGAGGGATCCGGGGATGGGAGGGGGCGGTGGCGGCTCGGTCCGCCCCCCGGTGCCGCTGTCCCCGCCCCCCCGGGCGCACGTGCCGCGTCCGCCCCTCCGCCCGGTTTCACAAGCGCGGGCACCGGCGGCCCCGCTGATGTTTTTCTGTCCGGGATCGGGCGCATGGCGAGGCCGCCGGGGCCGCTCCTCCTCCCCCGCCTCCTCCTCCTTCTCCTTCTCCAGTTCGCCGCCGCCGGGCGGCCCTGTGGCCCCTCCGGTGAGTGCTACCGGCACCGTGCAGGGTGGGGGTAGAGAACCCGACCCTCTCCGGGTACCGGGGCCCCGCGGGTCCAGACACGGCGAGGAGACACATGCGGTTCCCTACCTGTCCCGCAGGAGCCTGGCGGGTGGGAATACCGGGCACCCCTGGGGGTGCTGGAGAGGGGGGTTAAGGTGGGTGCTGGGGCTGGGGGACTGTGTCCTGGGTGCTGTGTCCTGGGTGCAGGGTGCGTTCCCAGCAGCAGGAGCCGAAGGGAACAGCAGGTCCACGCCGGCCGTTGACCTTTGGAGGGAACTCAGGCCTGACTGGGGCCGCCAGCCAGCGCTGCCGCTTAACCCCTCCGGCACCACCCGCCCCAGTCTGCCACCTCCCTGAGCCGTGCTCTCCACCGCCAGACCCCTCAATACACACCGCGTTTGATGCTGCGGTGCCCGTCCCTACGGCGGTGACGATGGTCTGGTGCCCCCACTCCGTGGGGAACTGCTGCCTCTCTCTCCAGCTCAGTGCCTTGACCCTGAGCAGCCACTGGACGTGGGGAGCAGATGGTGGGGTGCCCCCCTCATCTAGGGACACTCACTGCACTCGAGGTCTCATCTTGATCACCTGACCCCCTCTTGCCCTCACAGGACTGTCGCGGGATGTGGTGTTGGGCCGCCTGGGAGCCAACATCACTTTGATCTGCAGGGACGAGGTGCCCGCAAATGTCACAGTGCGGTGGCAGGTGGAGGAGCGGGGAGCAGCAGTGCCGCGGGGCCGTGGACGGCCGCTGGCGGAGGGCAACGTGCTGCTCCTGCGTTGGCTGCGCTACGAGGACTCAGGGCGCTACATCTGCTCTGTGGGGAGCCGCCTGCTGCGCTCCCTGTGGCTGTTGGTGGAAGGTGGGTCCACACCGGGGTAGGGATGTCCCTGGCAGCATTGCCCGCTATGACCCCTGTCCTTCAGCACCTCCTTGCTTTGCAGAGCCCCCCGAAACCCCCCGAGTGTCCTGCTACCGACGGAGCCATGACAAGGATGTCCTGTGCGAGTGGCCACAGCAGACGAAGCCGTCCCCGGGGACACGGGCAATGCTCTGGGTGAAGCGTAGGTGAGCCACTGTTGCTGCATCCACCATGGGCTGGGACCCCACAGCACAGAATGTGTCCCCATGGACCCTTCCCCCAGTGCCATCTGGAACGCCACAGCTCAAGATGCTTCCCTCCCTTCAGACCCTTTCCCTAGCAGCTACTGGGAGCTGGGACCCCACAGCATGGGATGTGTTCCTTCCCCACTGACCCCTTCCCCCATGTTGCCTGGGACCTCATGGCACGGAACATTTCCCTCCCCACAGAGCCTTTCCCCTGTGCTGCCTGGGACTCCACAGCATAGGATGCATCCCCTGCAGCTGCCCCATGCCTGGTTTGGTGTGTGCTGCAGCCCCCACTGAGCTGTGGCCCCACAGGTTCACGGCTGAGAACGCCACAGAGCAGCGGTGCCGCTACTTCTCCAAGGCACGGAAGTTTGTTTGCCGGGTGAAGGTGCCACCTGGCACCGAGGACACCAAACACCTTGTGGTGTCCACATGTGTCAGCAACAGCGCCAGTGGCTTGGCCGGTGAAGACAAGATCATCACCCTCAGCGGTGTCCGTGAGTGCTGCCCCTCTTGCTGGGGGCTGGGGTGGCCGAGGGCACAGTGCCAGGCCCTGAGCCCCCCCTTCCCCAGCAGTGAAGCCTGATCCCCCCCTCAATGTGACGGTGGAGGCACTGGAGAAGGCGCCTCAGTGGCTGCGGGTCAACTGGTCCTACCCCTTGTCCTGGGACCCCCGTTTCTACTGGCTCCGCTTCCAGGTCCGCTACCGCCCTGAGCCTGCCCCAGCCTTCGTGGAGGTGAGACCCCTCTCCCTAGAATCCAGCTGTTGCTGGTCCCTGTCCAGGCTGTCCCCAGCCCCATGTCCTCTCTAGGTGGATCAGGTGACGACAACGTGGCTGGACATTCGTGATGCGTGGCGGGGGACGAAGCACGTGGTGCAGGTGAGGGCGCAGGATGAGTTCGGCCATGGCGCATGGAGCGAGTGGAGTCGGGAGGCTGTGGGCACCCCCTGGACAGGTACGAGTGGGACACAGAGCCCTGAGGGTGGAGGCTCTGTGTGGGGTCCCCCAGCCTCATGCTCCCCTCCCGTCTTGCAGACCCCAGGGACTTCACCTCTGAAAAGGGACCTTTCAGCTCACAGGTGGGATGGCCTCAGCCCTGGGGGCTACCACATACTCCTGTCCCCATGTGGGACAAGGGGTTACCAAGGGCGTGGGGGCTGCCCCATGCCACTGTGCACCCCTGCTTTCTTTTGCAGTTCCCCATGGAAGATGACAGCTATGAGGTGACACTGCCCCCAGAGCTCTTCTGGGAGGACCGTGCTGATGGTGCTGATGGTGAGGAGGGGTTCCTGGGTTGGAGGTGGGGGTCTGGGACACCACCCAGGTCCCCCATCCACGCAGTGAGCCCATCCATTCTCTCTGTGTCAGGGTCTGTCATGGAACCCAGTGCCCACCCTGTGGCATCCCCCCATGCCTTCCTGGTGGCCGGGGGGAGCCTGCTCCTGGGCATTGCCCTCTTTGTTGGCATCGTGGTGAGGTGAGTGCTGGGGAGTGCCTGGTCAGGGGGCTCTGTCTGGCCTCCCTGACCCAGACTCTCTGCCCTTGCAGGTACAGGCAGATGTGGTGGACAGGCAGACAGCGGGGGACCAAGCCGGAGGGTGAGGGGCAGCATATGCTGGTCCCCCTGGGCCTCCCTAGTCCCCCACTCAGTGACACCCCCCTACTCTCATACCCCACCCCCACGGCCCCTGGAACGCTCCACATCACCCACTTGGACTGTTCCTCTTCAAGGCAGTAGCCAGGGGCTGAATGTGCTGGCAGGTGCTTTGGGGGTCAGGTGGGGGTTGCTCGCCCCAGGATTCCCAGGGCTGTGATGTGGCTCTGGGAGCAGCTCCCCCCACTATCCGGTGGCTCTGTGGCTGGGAGCAGCCTCTGAGGAGGGGAATCAGTGCCACCCCTGTGGAGAAGCAGCTGGGGGGGAGCCCCAAACTGGGTCCTGGAGGGCACCTTCAGAGCCATGGCTAAACTGGGATGGCCGGTGGTGTCAGCACTGGAAACATGGCTGTGCCGGAGCGTGGGAGCCGGCCCGGGGTCAGGTTTGAGGATCCCAGGGGAAGGGCCTAGTCCCTGCAGTGCCACAGGGGTCAGGGAGGGAGGGGGGGGCCTGGCTGGATCAGCCCCATACTTCTGCTCTGGCCCCCCCGGGGCTCCTTTTTAAAGCATATGTTGGGGAAATAAGACAATGTGGCTCCAATAAATGCTTTGGATTTGTACCGGAATGGATGCTGTGGGGGGGAGTAATGGAGGGATCACTGCAGCGCCCCCTTGCCTGGGAGTGACTCCAGTGTGGGGGGGTGAGAGTGGGCTGTGTAGCCCCAGTCCATGCACCCTCTGCCTTGCTGTGCCCTCCCAACTGCACTGTGTACCCCACAGTGTGCTCCCTGTACCTCCAGTGCCTCCCAGGCTGTACCCCCTGTGCTGTGCACCCCCTCTGCCACAAACCCCATGCCATGAACCCTCAGGCCATGCCCCCTCTTCTATGCAGTGCCCACCCCACACTGAGTTGTGCAACGCCCCAGAGAGCTGCAGCTGCACCCGGGGAGGAAACCGCAGGGTGAGGGTAGCGGGTGTTCAGGCGCCCTGGGGACAGCGTTCCCCTTCCCCTCCACCGGCCCCCTGCTATAAAAAGCCTAGCAGGATGCAGATGTGTGGCTGGGGGAGCCCCAGTACCCCTGGCCCCCGAAACTGTGGCGACTCTTCTTGGCACAAGCCCCATCCCAGCCATCTGGGACTGCTGGCCCTTCTCAGCCAACAAATTTATTTTACTATATCGTTACACATCCCAGTCTCGCTGTGTTCCCCCACCCTGGGCAGCCCCGTGGCCTGTCAGTTCTGGCACAGGGTGGTCAGGATTTGTCCTGGCAAAATCCCAACAGCCCTGCTGGAGTCCAGGATCAAGGTCATCACTTGACAGTGGCATTCCCTCTGGACCCTCCCCGTGGCATGTGGCCATCTCCGTGGGCAGACCTGCCCCATATGACAGGAGTGGAGGTCACAGATCAGTCTAGGGGGGGCATCAGCGGGCACTAATGCAGCTTGCAGTGGACAGGGTGCAACAGGGCCATGTGCTCGGCCCCCTTGAAGGGCAGCTTCTCAGTGGAGTAGTAGTGCACGACCTCAGGGATGCTGGTGAAGACGCCGCTGGCCTGGCTGAGCGTGTACTTGTTGTCCTTGGTCTGGGCTACAATGATGTGGACGCAGCCCTGGCTGGTCCTGGGCGGCCAGCGGGCATCAGCTTTGCCGCCGGCCCCCCGGCGCCCGTCTGCCCCGCGGCCGCATCCACCCCTGTTTGTTCCCGTCCTGCTCTGATTGTTTCAGCTCCAGGGGCTCCACTTCCTCAGGAAGGAAACGCCACTGGCGCTCCTGACAATGTGCCGGGGAGGGGTACACACCACGCCCCACCCCCCGCCCCAGTGCCACACCAGGATGCCTGGGGTCCCTCCGTGGGTCTGGGGGGTGCCATACCATGGGATCTGGGTGCTCCCTTCCCATCAGGGCTCGGGTGTGAACAACCAGGGGGGAGGCTCCCGATGCAGCATCCCCCAGGGTGGGACTCCTCACCGCATCCCCCCAGGACTGGACCCCTCCCCCCGCCGGGACCGGGACCCCCCCGACTCTGTGGCCACCCCGACACTCACTTCAGCGCGATGGAGTACTTGCCGCTGCCGGTCTCACTGGTCCGCACCAGGTACCCCGCCTCCCGGCACGTCTGCAGCCGGCTCTCTGCCTCAGCCCGCGTGATGGCCCCGTGGTACCATCTGTGGGGGGACACCGAGGAAGGGATGCTGAGCCAAGGCAAAGCCCTGGGCACCCTGCCCCCCCCGCCCACCGTTTCTCACACATGGCTTGGCCTTGCAACTCACGGCTGTTTTTCCAGTGCCAGGGCAGGGTCCACCCGCTCCCCCTCACTGTGCTCAGCCCCCGCCGGCTTCAGCATCTTGGGGGTCCAGCTCTTCTGGCGTAGGTGCTGCCGCAGCGTCTCCTCTTTGGGACGTTCCGAGCCCTCAAACTGGACTGGGAAGGATGAGATATGAGCCTCCAAAACCCCTTCTAGGCCACTTCCACTTCTAATCCCCACCCTTAGCTCTGTCTCTATCCCCAGCCCTGGCACCTTCCCCAGCCCCAGTTCCATCCCCTTCTCCATCCACGTACCTGTTCCCATCTGGTCCAACCCCATGAAAAGGGACATTTTCAGCTACATCTGGTTGCTCAGAGCCCCATCCAACTTGACCTTGCAGACATCTATCACCTCTCTGGGCAACCTGTGCCAGTGCCTCGCCACCCTCCAGCACAAAAACCTTCTTATATCTAATCTAAATTTCCCCTTATAGTTTAAAACCATCCCCTCTTGTCCTGCTAAAAAGTCTGTCCCCATCCCTGTCCCTGTTGTCATCCCCATTCCCATCCCATGCCTGTCCCCTACCTGACAATGCTTTGACAATCTGCTCCTTCTTCCACTCCCAGGGCTGCTCGTACTCTCCCGCTGGGCGCTCGTCGTTCTCGGGCAGGCGCCCGTCACTGGCCCTCACCCTGCGCTCTGGGGTCCCCCCAACCACCCCCTCCCCAGGCTCATAGGGGGTGTCGTAGAGCTGTGACCCCTTCCCTGCCACCTCCTTGCCCCCCAGCCACTTGGCCGGCTCCAGTTTGGCACCCCCCTCCCCCGACTCGCCAGGACCGTCCAGCAGCAGGATAGTTTTGACCAGGGGGTCCTTGGAGCCCCGACGACGGATTTCTGTGGGGAAGAGGGATGGTGGGTCAGGATGTGTCCCCTTAGACCCCCCCCCACTCCCAGCCCTTGGAGAGGGATGTGCACAGGGGACCCCATATTGGGAACGCCCCACTGGGAACCAGCTTGGGAGGAGCAGGAGCAGGAAGGGGCCCATCCTCATGGCGCCTGGTCTGCTGTCGCGGCCCTGGCGCCACAGGCACAGCCCCACAGTGGTGGGGCCAGCTGGGTCCTGCAGGGGCAGGATGCTACACCCCAGGCTGGAGCCCAGCCATGAGGGAGGCCACCCCGGGGGGCTCGCCCCTCCTGGCCCCCTGCTTCTCCCCACGGCACCAGTCTCCACCAAACAGCCTGGGCTGCCCCGCACGGAAAAAAACCATCAGCAGCAAATCTTTTATTTCCAGCTTCCAGCCCAGTCAGTTCCTGCTGTTGTGGCCAGCTGGACGGTCGCCACGCCAGCCCTGAGGGGTCACCATCTGGGGGGCATGACCACGGAGGAGTCTCAGGGGCGGTACCCCAACCCTGGGATGACTGGGGGGCACTGAGAGCTTTGCGCTGGCCATACGCACCCATCAGGCAGTGGCAGCAGGTCATGGCAGCAGTCAAGGGGCCAGCGGACACAGGTCAGTGTCCGGCCTTGCTCCCACTCCTTATCTGGCCCCACACAGCCACAGGAAGCAGCAAGCAGCTTTCCTGTTCCTGAAGCCTCCCGTGCCGGGTGGCTCCAAGGGCTGCTGTGCACTCCTGGCTGGAGAGTGGTGCCAGCTGCGGTGTCGTGGCATGGCTCAACATGGCACGTACCTGTGATCATCTGCTGGGCATCGTAGGGCTCCATGTACCCGTCATTCTCCCCCAGGCGCTCGGCGTCCCGTTGCCCCTTGGTGCGCTTGGCATCGTAGGGGTCAGCATAGTCCTCCAGGATGATGACCTGATGAGGGGCAGGCACTGCTGGCCTCAGGGCAGGGGACCCAGAAGGGGTGGCAGGGATGCCACTGGCACAGAGCTGGGAACAGGACACTGGGGTCCCCAGGGGAGGATGGTGGTTCCTCTGGGGTAAATGGAGCCATGTCACAACCCCAGGAGGGTGCATCCAGTGGCACCTTTGGGTGGGGGCAGTGTCCATCCCTATGCACCTCAGCGGTGGGGAGGAGCCTGGGGGGAACTCTGGGACCCTTTTGTGTGACAGCAACGCCCCCTCCCCCTGCCCCCCATCTAGCTCCCAGTCCCCCAAAGGCTGTGCAGGGGTGAAAGTCTAGCTTCCCAGAAAAGCTTTACATCAGCCTTTGTTCAACCAGCAGCCGAGTGCTGGGGTCAGAGCAGGATGGGACACATGGGACGTGGTGAGGGGGCCCAGCGACCCCTCTCACCCTTGTCCGGCTGATGAAGGGCAGTTGGGATGAAGGCAGCTTTGAAGGGATTTGAAAGCAGTGGAGCCGAGTGGGATGAAAGGCCGGAGTCAGCGGGCTAATGAGTCAGAAGCCCAAAGCGGTTAAAGCTGCCACTGCTGTGGGCTCCCCACAGTGCACCTCCCCCTCCCCCACCTCGGTCCCTGCCTTACCGTCTCTGTCTTGGGGGTCTTTCCCTTGTCCTGCTCGGGGGCAGGCAGGCCAGCCGGCAGGGGGCCAGGGTATCCCTTCCCATTCTTCTCGGGAGCCTCCACCTTGATGAGGCGGTTGATGTAGGCACCGCAGGTTTTGGGGGGTCCCTCCGGCATGCCTCCCTCCGCTCGAGAATTCTTCCGCATCTTCCCAGTGGCGGCCTGGAGCAGACCCTGCAGGTTGTCCCGTGACAGCCGGCTGCCCCCTTCCTTGCCACCCCCTGGCGCCCGGCAGCCCCCAAGCTCAGCAGTTGAATTTTTGCGGCTCTTCCCGAGGCTCCCGCTGCCAGGCCGAGCCCTCTCCGAAACCGTCTTCAGGTTGGATGGGAACTCCTTGAACCACTTGGCCGCCATGGGGCCCGGGAGCTGCAGGGTGCCGAAGCCCCCCCGGGGCTCCTCGACACCCCACGGCCGCCCCACCGGCTCAGGGCTGGCTCAGCCGGGGGACACTGGGCAGCCCGGTTGCCCCCAGCCCCGGAGACAGGATCCTCTGCGGCCGGGGGCCAGCCCGGGACGGGGGATGAGGGCCGGGGGGCCGGGGCCTTCGTAGGGGGCTCCAGGCGTCCTTCGCCCCCGCGGGGACAGCCGGTGGGTCCCCAGGGGTGCCGGCTCCCGTGGCCCGGGGAAGGGACTTCGTCCCCTCGGGAGTCCCTCGCCCCTCGGAAGGGCTCCGGCGGGGGCCGGGCTCTCTGATCCAGCAATGGGTCGAGTAGGGGGGTCTCGCCGGGCGTCGAGGGGGTCCGGCCGGGGCAGTCCCTGGGCGGCTCTGGGGGTCCCCTGCAGCCGGGGACGGGACCGGGGGGGGTCTCTCCGTGCTCCGAAGGGTCCGGGCAGCCGGGAGATCCCGTCGCGGCTCCTCGACGGAGCCCGTCTCCGGGGGCGACGGGGCTTCGGCGAGGGGTCAGGCCGGCCCGGGGGGCCCCATGCGGCGGCGGCGGGCCGGGTCGAGCCGGGCCGGGGCCGGAGGGGCCGGAGGGGGTGGCGGGGCCGGCGCTCCCCGCCCAGATCCGGAGGGGGCGGCCCCGGGGAACAGCGAGGGACCGGCCTGGCAGGCGGTCGCGGCCCCGGCGAACACGAGGAGCCCTGGGAAGGCAGGGCAGCTTCGGTGGGGAGTCCGTCCCAACGGGGCTGGGAGACCTCGGGACCCTGCCCGGCTGATGGCACAGGAAGTGCACATGGAACCCACTGACGGACACTGCGTGTGGACCCCCGCACAGAGATCCCACGGACAGCACAGACTTCCGTGCGCGGGCCCCCTGCACAGCCCCTGGACATGGACCCTATGGGTGGAGCCTACGTATGGACTCAGTGGACCTTATGGGTGGAATTCATGGACTTTACGGATGGGACCTGAATGTGGGCTCTATGAATTAAGCCTGGGCGTGGATCCTATGAACCCTATGGATGAAGACTGTGCACAGCCCCCTGTACAAGGACCCTGTGCACAGTCTCCTGTGCACAGCCTAACGGGTCACAAGCACAGCGCCAATGCACTCACTGCTGCCGCAGCCGCGGTTCACACCACACCAGCCAAGATCATGCTGACACCTTGCCGGAAAAACTCAGCTGAGCCCAGCGGTTTGGCTTCCTGCCGGGCTGCACAGCGCCGGGGGCCACTTACCCATCCATTTGCAACAGCACGGAATGGGGAGGGGGGTTTTGCAGTAAAATTGCTCCCCAAGTCCCCAGGGTGGGAGTCTGGGATCAGGACACAGCCTCCTCTTCCTTGCAGGAGCCGGAGAACATCCCCACAGACCAGCTGCCTCCTCCCTGCCTTCCTCCCCCCTCCCCGGGGAGGCTTCTCTGTGAGGGATCACTGGGAGAACTGACCCCAACCAGCAACGTGCTGCCCACATCCAGGTGCAGGGAGGTGCTTGGTGCTGGCACTGCATAGGAAGTGATGGCAGTTTCCTTGCTGGCACTGCTGGGCAGGATGTGCCTTGCAGCGATGGGCTGGCACCCAAACTGCCAGTGGGATCTCAGCAGGCTCCAGTTTTGCCTTCTTGAGCTCAAGGAAAACTCTGCTTCCCTTGGATGCCAGCTCCTTTTCTTTCCTTGGCAGACAAAATCTCCCTCAATCATTTACAGGGCCTCAACAGGGCAGACACACAGGCAGCACCCTCTCAGTGGTTTGGTGCTGCGGCAGTGCAACCGGTGATAAGCCATCCACGCGTCTCCTCCGGGAAGTCTCCCCTGCGCCCTTATCCTCTACCAGCTCCTGCAGGGAAAGGCTTTGGGACTGCCTTTGGCAGTGATGACAGATGGCACCACCATGCACCTGCTTCCCTGAGAAGACAAAACAAGCGCTGAGCCAGCACAGTGGTGACGAGCACCAAGCCCAGCTTGGAGTGGGACAGGCAGGTGCAAACAAACGGGACTGGCAGGCGCCTGCCAGACGCCAGCTCAGGCTGCTCCTGCTGTGCTTCCAGCCCCAATGCCTGCCAGGTCAGCATTCCACTGACGGAGAGGGTCCTGCAGGGCCGCCTTCAGTTCTGCTCATCCCAGCCCAGAAAGCCGCCAGGATTTGAGAGCATGTGCCCATGAGGTCTCCCAGCCAACTCAGCATACCCAATCCCAACCCAGCGCTAGGCTCGGCAGAGTAGTCCACACCTCGCCAAAGAGAAACCTCCATGAATGTTTTACACCATCATTAAATCAGCTTAACACCCCAACCAGCAGGTTTCTGAGCTAAAGGGAGGAGCAGAGCTCCCCCCAGCCCCTGGTCCGGGGTGGAGAAGGACACAGGGCAGAGCTGCTCAGCATCACAAACTCTCGGGTCCTTCAGCAAAGCACTTAAAAATAGTCCCCAGCTGATGCCAGAGCCATTACTAATCCCCCTCCTACAGCATCTTTTTTATTTCCAAGGTTTCGAGCAGGACAGGGGACCAGCTGCTGAAGTAGATAATGGAGTTCTGAGGCCCTTTGATTTTCTAATAACTTTTATTCAAACACAGTGAATTAATACCCATGGTCCCAGCTTTGACACTAGTGCGTCAGCTCTGCCCTCCAGCCGAGGACACAGCCCAAGTTAGAGGAGCTCTGGCACCCAAATCTCCTTCCAGCAGACTTAAGACAGAGCTGGGGGGGATTCGAGGCAACAGGCCACAAATGCAGCAGCACCATCCATGGAGGGCTGGAGCACCAAGGTGAGCAGCAACAAGAGCTCGAGGAGGGAAAGTAAAACAAACCACCATAGAATGAGGTGCTCGCTGCCAGAGCAGGTCCTGGTCAGGAGCAGTGGTGGCCAGAGCAGTGCCCACACTCTCCTCCCTGCAGCAGTTTTTGCATCCACAGCACAGCAGGGACTGGGGCGAGGGGCTCAGACCCCACCCACAGCTAGTGGGGAGAAAGAGGACAAAGGGCTATAGCTCTGCGCTGGGCACAGCTGGGCCTCTGCTCATCTCACTGCTGGGCAAGAGGAGAGAGAGAAGCTGGGATGGGAGCTGGCAGCCCTGGGCTGCACCCAACAACCCTGTCCTCCACTGCACGGCAGAGGACAGCCTCAGATCTCCCCCTCTGTGCTTCGAGTTGCAAGTTCGCAGTTTATGAAGAGATGGGTTTGGCCAAGGGGAGACAGGCTTTTCTTCTGCCAAGGCAGCTGCTCCAGGCGTTCCTGCAGGGCTTGAGCCCACCGTGGCTCCATCCATCTCCCCACCCTGGCACCAGGGCTGCAGCAGAGTTCTTAGGGCACAACCCACCCAGCAGCAGCTTGCAAAGAATGAGTTAGACCAGCATTCTCAAATTAACAAACTGTAATTTTTCTCCAAAGATACATTTTCCATACACATCCATCATACACTGTAACAAAAAAAAGCAGTGTACATGAAATAAGAAAATAAATTAAATCCATAGCATAGGTAAGGAGGACGCTCTAGACTGGAGTAGAGTCAAAAGTTTCCAGCGATACAAGAGGCTCGAGTTTGTTTTAACAAGAATGCCTGCTAGCATGGGCCCAGCAAGTGTTCTGGGTCAGTCCAACTCCTTAAACAGTTTTATTTAGAGTTTTGAACAGCCAGTATTGTCCCGCAACAGGCAGAGCTATTACATCCTGGGAGAAAGCCAAGAGGCATCAGTAAGATCCAAATAGAGTATCCAGAAGATAATCAGATTGGTCCTGCAGCATCTGCACTAGCCATCCTCCTTGGGTGGTGTGTACCAGCCTGGAATGAGGAGAGAGATCCGTGAGGGAGGAAGCTGCATGGGCAATGGGAATCTGTGCCTGGAAAAGCTGCTTTCCCACTTCCAAAAGGCCACGTCTCCCTGATTAGCGGAAGGCTTTCCCTCTGGGTTACTTCCTGACACCATGGACAATCACAGAATTGTTCAGGTTGGAAAAGACCTCTCAGATCAAGTCCAAGCATTCAGTGAGGTGCTGCCTCTAGTTACAGCTGCAGGAGCCCAGCCCTGGGCATCAGGGAGGGCAGCAGCATGCTGCACCCACACCCTGCATTCCAGCAGCTGCCCCTGCCTCCAGGTCACCTCTGCACTTGGAGCGGGATAAAACTCAAGCAGCTCGTCTGGGGAGCCCAAATGAGCAAGGGGAAACACAGGCCCCCTCCCTCAGCCCTTACCATTCTTCTCATGGATCTGAACCAGGGACTTGTAGGACTGCTGTGCTCTTGTCAGGCTGTACTGGTTCTGCAGTAGAAGGCAGAGAGATGATCAGTCCAGCAGGAACCTTGGGCGAGCCATCCCATAGCCAGAGTTGGCTGTGCCTCCATTTGCCTCTCCCCTATCACCCACCGTTCTCTTGTACCAGCCAGGTCTTACTTACCTTGTTGGCTCCGAATTGTACTCGTGCTTTCCCTTTCACCAGTGTCGCGCTGATCTGCATGATCACCGACTCGATGGAGTAGGCGCTGCTCCAGCCCTGGGAGAGCAACATGCGGTGAAGCCAGACCCACCCTGGGGGCTGTGCCCCTCAATGCAACCAAACAGCCTCCCCCAGCTGTGCCAGGCAAGGGCATAGTAGGATCCAGCAGAGCAGCTCCCCCAGCCCCTGCAGGGACCAGCACCCACCTGTTTGGTGAGCAGCTCCATGCAGATGGCACCGCCACCCAGAACATACCTGGGGAAGGAATCAGACAAAATTACTGCAGAAACGGATGCAGCCACACCCACCCACTGCTCCAGAGGTGAAACATCTCTGATCAGATCTCAGATGGAAGAAATACACTAAAAAAAATCCACCATCCCTGTCTCTGCTTCCCTACGGTAAACCCATGTCAGGGAGGTCATGATGCTGGATAAAGCCAGTGAAAACTGCTGCAGGAAGCAGCTCTGCAGAGCAGAGAAAGGCAAATGGTTACTCACCCCCCTGACAGCACTGGGGACACAACCCTTACGAACGGTGGATCAAAAGGAAAGTTATCCTGGAACGAGAGAAGAGAAGCAAAGCCGTTGAGAAAGGTGTTCTTTGAAGCCTCGCCCAGGCAGGTCCCTCTTGAGGAGGGGGAACCTTACTTTAAAGGAGAAGTTGAGGAGGATGAAATCTGTTCCTTCTTTCTCTTTGAGGATCTGGAGATCGCTGTGCAAAGCGCTGTCCTCGTCAACCCTGCGGCAGGAACACCCCAGAGGGTCAGTCAGGGCCAGACACCTCAGGCCAGCCGTGCTGTCAGCTCACCCCAGAGCGGCCGTACCTGCACTGCCGGG